ATCTCGAACTTCCTTTTCAACCACTTCTTTCATCGCCAGTGGTAGTGGGTACTGCGGAGTGCAAATCGGATCCGGTGTTGTCAGTCGAAGCGGGCATTCCAGCAAATTGGTCTTTCCTGGCATTTCGGAAAACACATCTTGGTATTTGGTCAGAATCCGCTGGAGCTCAGCAGCTTCCTCTTCAGCCAGCCCTTCACCTATATTAATTGTCTCCACCCCAGTCCCTTGGTCAATAGTGTAAACTGGTATAGGTGAATCTGCCTCCTCTTCTTCCATCACTACGAATGACGCTGTTTGTGTAAACCTCTCCGGTTCGCGATCCTCGTAACGCTTTAACATGTTGATGTGGAACAACTTGGTGTCACGTCCCAAGTCCAACCAGTAGTCATGACTGCCCTTTTTCCCTGTGACCTTAAAAGGTCCTTTCCATTGCATGAGTAACTTATTTTCCGTAGTAGGGAGTAGAATAAGGGCCCGGTCGCCTACTTCAAGCTGACGTTTCGTGCTTCGCTGATCATAGTATTGCTTCTGTGATTTTCTTGCTCGTGTCAAGTTCTCATGAGCCAACTGCAGTGTTTTTTCAAGACGATCTCGCAGATCCAATACATATCCGTAAGTTGTCTTCGCCTCGTCGCCGATGTGTTCTCCAATCCATAATTCTTTTAACAAACTAAGTGGTCCTCTGACGTCACGCCCGTAAATAAGTTCGAAGGGAGAAAATCCCGTGCTGGTCTGAGGCACTTCACGATAGGCAAAAAGGAGTGGGGCAAGCAACCGATCCCAGGATCTTGGTTCCTCCTGGCAGAGCTTCCGCAACATCTGTTTTAACGTACCGTTAAATCGTTCCACCAACCCGTTACACATAGGATGGTAAGGTGTAGAACTGAGGTGCTTAATGGCCAGTAACTCGTTGACTTCTTTCATCAGTTCGGAAGTAAAACAAGATGCTTGATCACATAGAATTTCACGCGGGAATCCTACGCGTGAGAACATCTCCACCAGGCCCTCTGTTACTGTCGCCGAATCGATTGCTGGCAGGGCCACCGCGTCCGGGTAGCGCGTGGCGAAGTCCACCATGGTCAATATGTAGCGGTTTCCGTTTCTCGACACAGGTTTTAAAGGACCGATAATATCGATTGCCACTCGCTCGAAAGGGGTGTCGATCAACGGCATTACGCCCAGAGGCGCCTTGCCCACTTTACCTTTTGGATATGCTCTTTGGCAAATGTCACAGGATCGCACGTATCTCTTTACTTCTTCCTGAACTCCTGGCCAATAGAATGATCCTAGTACTCGGTCAATTGTCCTCTTGATGCCTTGATGGCCCGCCATCAGACTTTCATGAGCTAGCTGCAGTACTTGGCTCCGCAGTTTGCGAGGAACAACTACCTGCTGTACTATCTTGCCGGAGGATAACCGATAATGGCGATATAAAACTCCCTTTTGCATAACAAACGAATATTCTGTCGATCCTCTCCCAAAAAACACTGCCCAACTTTGTTCCTACAGAGATCTAGGCTCTTGTCCTCCGCCTGCTCAATCTTGAAGATTCGTTGGTTGATATTCAAAGCGGTTGCTTTCACCGAATCCAACGAAGTACTTGAATTCTTGACTACGCTGATCATTGGTCTCTCGTAGCGATCTGCTTTCATCACCCCTAATCTCTCCTTGACGCTTTTAGACTTCGTCTTCCTTTCCGACAGTCCCTCGCTCCACCTGCTATCTGGATCATTGGGATCACGGGATCCTGGCACGTTTCCCACGATGACGTCATACAATGGGGAAGTCATGCATTTAACGATCACCGTGCCAGAAAAATAGGGCGAAAATATCTCCACTTTTGCTTCGGGAACTTTTATTCTGCTCCCATCGGCTAAAAATACTGTCGTCATAGCTCCTGTCAGCACTTCGTCGGGCACGAGGGAACGTCGCACAACCGTCGTGTTACTTCCTGTATCCCGAAGAACAGAGACAGGCTTATCAAATAGGAGACCCTGGAGAACTGGCATCTGATATTTCGTTGCCATTTGTTGCGTGTTTACTGCCCCCGACACATTATTCTCGGGCCCGCCGCCGGATGCGTTATCATTGTCTTTAGAGTTCTCTTCGGACAATATACATGAAGCCTTTTTATACGTGGCGGGTTTCTTGGTGCAAACTTGGGTATCGTGTCCTGCCCTACGACAATGCCCACAGTAAGGTTGCTTCGTCCGAGCGCGACAATCTGAGGCTTTATAGCCGATTTTGTTGCAAACAAAACATTGCACTGAAGTTTTTGAGGTCGTGCTCCCACTTTTCACAGCCATGCCGTTTTCAGCCTTTTCTCGGAAAACAAGCAGGTTAGACTGTCGCTGTGCCTCTAAAAACTGATCTGCCGCTTCAGCCATTTCTTCAAGTTTACGGCAATTCTTTTCACGCAAAAAGAGCGCCACTCGATCATGACACTTACTGATGAACTGTTCAGCTACAATCAGGTCACGAACTGACGCGTATTCTTTGTCTACTTTCGACATTTCCACCCATCGGTCGAAAAAACTCATTAATCGTGCAGCGTACTGCCGGCCGGTTTCTCCCTCTTGAGGCTTACTGTGCCGGAACTTCTCACGGTACCCTTCCGCTGTGAAGCGAAATCGCTGAAATAGAGCCAGTTTCACTTTCTCGTAATCAAGTGCATCTTCAGGGGATAGGCGACCAAACACTTTTAGCGCTTCTCCGCTTAGGCACAAACTCAGAGCCGTGGCCCACTTGTCTCTAGGCCACTCTTGCCCTGTCGCCACATTCTCGAACCTTTTTAAGTACGCATCTAGGTCATCCCGGTTTTCATCAAATCCTGGTATAAAATTATGAGGATTGACGTTGGAAGACACCCTTGATGATCGACCTATGTCTGCCCCGACAGGCTCTCTGGCGGTTTCAGTCTGAGTCAGTTGAAGGCGCAATTGGATCGTCCTTTGGGCCTGCTCCTCGACTTGTAATTGCAACTGCATTTGTTCCTTCTTCGCCTCTCTTTCTGCCGCCCTTTCCTCACGAGCTCGAGCTTCTCGCTCATCAATCCAAGTTTTCAATTCCGCACCTTCCAAACCCATGCGCATGGCCAACGCCATTAAATCTGTCGAGCTCATCTTTTCCTCACTAATCGTCAGCCTGACTCAAGCGATACAAATGGCCTCGTCCTGTCACAGCGGACGCCAGTGTTACATTGCAGTGGGTGTTATAGCAACGTGCAGGTTCTTAGTTAATGGGTGTCCGAGCCGTCGCCCCAGACTCCCACGAAAAGACGAGGCCGTTTGTACGCCACACTTTATACACACGAAAAACGAACACACATAACATGGACAGGCTATTTAAAGAATCCGTCACTGTCTCTGTGAACTATCAAAGTCCTAAACTAACCGTCCCTCCTTTTTAGCATGGACACAAGACATGAGGTCGGTCTCACCGAGGTTCGTTGCTACGTCTTGAGTTGGCTCGCGTTGTCCGCACGGTCAACCAGGCGACTAGTTGATGGGTAGGCTCCGCCCCCGCAGCCACGTCGCGGCTGGACACCTCTGCTGGAGCTCGTGCCCGTAGCCCGACAGCTCCGCGTTGCTCGCACGGTAGACGAGGCGGCAACTTGAAGGGTATACGCACCACCACCGACCACGTACAGGCCGGACACCTCCGCTGGAACTCGTGCCCGTAGCCCGACAGCTCCGCGTTGCTCGCACGGTAGACCAGGTGGACCAGTTGGCGCGGTAGACCAGGCACTACCACCGGCCGCGTCCCGGCCGGACACCTCTGCTGGAACTCGTGCCCGTAGCCCGACAGCTCCGCGTGTCCTCAAGCACAGGATGCCTTGAAGCCGCAGCCCGTCAGCGACGCACGGCCGTGGCAGGTAGAACGTGGCAGGTAGGCCGGGCTCGACTGTTACTAGGCTCGGGTCCGGAACCCAACGGCCGAGTCGAGAGCCCCGTCTTCCTCGTTCCTTCTCGTACCTTCGCCGCCACGCTACTCAGCCCTCGTACTACCTTCGTCGTTGTCTGCTTCAAGCGCGCACTTTGTATGGCGCGCACTTTGAATGGCGCGCACTTTGAAGCTTCGCGCACGACACATATCACAACACTATAGCGTTAAAGAGCTCGTTTTGCAGAAATGCCGGCATCAGTGTCGTTGGTTGTGAGCAACAAATCATCTTATGCATGATTGAGAAATCGACAACGATGCATATAATAGAAATGATAAAAAATATCCTGGGTCCAAATGGAGATCAAACCCGAATCGTTTGCATGGCAAGCGGGTGTACGCGTCTGCTTTTGAATGCTGAATGCAGCGAAAATAACTTCTTCTGCTTGGAAGTGCAGTGAAAGTAACTTTCATGCTTTACAAACACATGCGTCCTGTATACATGCTTCACAATATTACACGAGATATTGCCGTAATAATACCATCTGGCATTGCAAGATGCGATTATAATGAGTGAGTGAACCAACCTTATGGTCGATCCGGCGATTATAATGAGTGAGCGAACCAACCTTATGGTCGATCCGGCATAAAGAGGGAAGAGGTCGGTCTCTTGGTTTAACTTTTTTCTTTGTTTAAAGCCGGTCACCCACTACAAAAGGCACATACGCTTCTGCTCCTATTCCCTAAAGGCCACGTAGTGTGAACATAGCAAGTTTGACAATATTTCATACATAATAGCAGTGTCCTGTTGCTAGTGCATACTTTGAAGTACGCACTAGCAAGAGGACACCGCTGTCATGTTCGACTCCTAAAGGCGAAGCTTTACATCCCCTAATCTTTAGAGCAGCTGGAAACAGCATTAGTTTGTGCAAGTGCCTCCTGTTTAGTTCAAAGCTACAGTGCAACGTGTAGAATATAACAAAGCAAACAAGTAAACTAGTGTGTAGATTAAGGAAGCAGAGGAGATCCGCACACGACCTGTGGGAGCAGGGCAGACGCCAATTCATGACAACAAGTGTCCTGCTGTCGCCGCACAGCATAGCGAGAACATCAACACCTTTATTGCAATAAAACTGGCATCATTTATTGAATATCATATGGAAATTTACAATGAACACACTCGCAAGCACATTGGAACCGGCGCCATCTCAATACTGGAAGCTGCGCTGCGTCTGGATGTCCTCCAGTATCTGCCGCAGCTGGTCGTCCTCGAAGCGGCCCTCGAGGCTGGGCACGAGGGCACGTGCCTCCTCGGGATTGTCTGGGCACAGGTTGGCCAACTGGGCCAGCTCGAAGCGGTGCAGCTTCTTCTGCGCCAGCAGTTGCCGTACGGCTGTGATGGTCTCCCGGTTCTTGAAGCGACTGAACCGCTGGCAGTAGCCCAGAGTCTTCATGAACACCTGCACATTTGACACCGGTTCGGTAATCACTATATGCTTGCAGGCACCAGGTGATGTTTTTCGCAAAACAGCTGGTTATACCTTGGATAAGAAGTTGTACAATGTCACTGATACGAAATGCACGCACGAAGGAATGTCAAAACGTGCACAACAAAAATTTTGCGCAGCACTCACGAGTGGAACAAAGTACAGAAGAAACAACAAGGACAGCCATTGTTTATTTTGTATTTTGTCCGACCTGTGTGCATTACACGAGATTTTATCGTGAACACCAACCAACCAACTAGCTCAGCTTATCATCTTAATAACAACTGTTCACTCATCCAAAAGGCAAAGTACAAATGCCAGTGAGGACCCATAAACATGAAATTTTAAGACGTCTAAGAGATGGATGAAATATCGAGAAGCAATATAGAAAAAGAAACACATTGCCAACCAAGTAAAAAATGTGTTCATAATAATGAATGTTCAGGCTCCTCCATGGGAGCCTAGATATTCACAGACTCCCACACAGGAACCTTGCTCAGAATAATCATAATGATGCTCCTGAACAAGCTTCCATGCAAAAGCCAGAACACCTTTCACAATACATATTTACCTTGGTTGGCGCTATACATAGGTTGGCAAACTCGCTCATCAGTCTAAAAGACTGAGCGAGTGCACCTGAAATACATTTTGGTGGGGGTCTGGGAGAGTCCACTGTTGGAATATATTGATGAACGAAAGTCCGGACGAGTCCTAAAAGCAAAATATTTTTCACGAGCGAGTCTTCGTGGGCTCTACATCTTTTTGTTGACCTATGATGCTGCGTGTTTCTTGGTGCACCATTTTTATTGTTCTTTGTCAGTATACACTTTGCCTTTTGGGTGAGTACAAAAGAGTTACTTTGCAGTCATTTGGTGCATAGGTTCTTCCAAGTCTTCTGTAATTTGAACAGCATAATATCACATGTCTAGAAATTAAACAACTGACACAAAACCGATTTCCATGTGATGTCAAAACATGTAATTTTACACAGCGAAGCTTACAGCATCCATACACCTATTCACATGAGGAAGATTAAAAGGATTGCGTTAAAAACAAAAAAGCCATGGCCAGAAGCAGCGGTACACAGACAAGTGCAGACTCACACTACTATATTCATGGGTGCAACCACCGAATAAATTGGAAATTTAAACACCAAGACGTGTACATTCACCAATAAATATGAAAATTATACATGCCCAAGCCTGAAACCACTCTCTTCCCTGTCCAGGGCAATCGAAGGATCACTAACACATGCAGATGCTTCGTGTGATATAGACAATCTTCCAGGACCAAACATGCATACATATTTCTACTTTTACTGATAATGACCTCCTTCTGTTGAGGATCACACTTGCGCACACTGCAATGCTCAGCTGAATTAGTTTTTCCCTTTTGAAATTTGCAGGCGCTCCCTCACCGACATTTATGCAGTGTCTTGCATTGGTCTACGTAGACCATGCAGCAGCCGAGTGAAACTTCGTAGACCACTCTGATTGCCCACTTCACGAGGGGCCTCATCTGCCTTTTGTTGCAAGATGCTGTTTTCGTCCCACTAATGCAAGAGAAAAAAACAAAGCGTCTTTGGGTGTCTAGAGAACAATCAGGACCCCATATTTTAAACCTACTTATTTTGAGGGCAGTGTTAACATTCGGTGCACATGAGGCAAAAGACTTCAGGCTGCAGCAATTCTTTTGCAACAGGGAGTAGGTTATTGCGACACTGACCGAGCGAGGATACTTAGCTTGCGCTGGTCTGCCAATTTGAGGACAAAAACTTGTCATACTTCATTGTGGCCACCCGACTTTTTGTGAAGAAAGATTAAAAGTAGATCACAACAGCAGATTTTACTGCAATAGAATGAGGTGATTCATACGAAGCACACATTTTTTTTTTCTGTCAGCTGATATCTGCATACATGTTCTACAGTGAATGTGAAGTTAATATCTAACCATTCAAGCTTATTATCAGCAGGAGTCTCATGAATGACGAATAATCCTCTAACACGCACATAATTTTCAATAGTCTCGGCAGAGGACAGCACTTTGTGATAGGTGGCGAGGACATTGGAAGTTGTAAAGGATTACATCTACGTGGTGACTACAGAGCCAAACCACGAGAGTGAAATAACGAAGAATAATGGGATGGGGTTCATTTTCAAATCATGAATAGTAGTCTACCTCTAACACTCAAGAGGAAGATATATAAGAGCTGGACTTTGCTGGTATTTACCTATAAGCAGAAACATGGAAACTTACAAGGAGGTCTCAACTTCAATTGAAGGATGGCGCAGAGGCTGATGATTACGATTACTGTATGCTTGTGCGTCAAGATAGTGTTAGGTTGAAAAAGAACCACGAAGTCATCAACATATATGAAGTCCGTGGCTATAAAAGCTAAAAAATGTTACAAACAAATGTGCTATAAAGTTATCTGCACTGAACAGAGCTTTGTTGACAAAAGCAATTTTACCGTTCATCTTGATACAAGCTCCGACTGCCTTATGACTGTCTGACAGAGGTAGCCATTCAACATGGCTCGCTTGCACAGGTGGTTAGGCAGCATGCCACAGTTTTACAGGCACAGCTTGCATGCATTCTTAGGTTGTAACCGACTGTCGGAAGTTTGCGCGAATAGTGAAACGCCTGGTTCAGAACAAAACGCAAGATGACAGGCAAAGAAAATTTTGCATTGCTACAAATGCTTACAATTCTTTGCATTGCTACATCCGCGAGGGGGACAAAAGAGAGGACAAACAGACGGTCGTTGTGTAGACAATACAATGATTAAGCATTTGTACAATGTTGGTCGTTCAGAACAAGGCTGGCTGCCTGCCAACAGTAGCACGGACGCTAGTAAATTAATGTTGTTAATATCGTAGCATCATCGCCTAGTGCAGAGATGAGACTGCAAAAAAAAAAAAAAAAAGCTTTTGAATGACGGATGCGTCGGCATGCCTGCTGCTGTTCTCAACCATGAAAAGAAGACTTACGTAGGGTGTTGAACTGCGGTCGTTGCGTGTATAGCGTGCCTGTTTACAGAAGCGTTTTGAAAAAAGCGAACAGTCGGAAGCTAGCGCTCGGTCTCTTACCTTGTGTCTATCAAGTTATTGCGCTGCTAAGAATATACGCCCAATCCTACACTCTTATGAGCTGCAAGTGCGCTAAAGGTACCAGGGAATATACAGTCGTCGACGCTCCGACGCGTGCCCCGCAGCGCCCAGTGCTTCGCAGCAGGCATCAGTCGAAGTAGTGCAGGACACGCGTCGGATCGTTCTGAAGACAGTATACTAGGCGCTAACCTCGGAGAGTTCCTGCTCTTCCTCGGCGTTCTCGTTCTGCTGCTTGCGGTGCTCGAGCAGCATATGGACCTCGCTGATGAGCAGCGTCTCGGCGTTCTCGAACTCTTTCGGGAACTGCAGCTCCGACGCGTCCTCCTCCACCTGGTCGAGCACGGCCGCAGCGGCCGCAGGAACGCCAGCCATGGTTTCACCAACAAACCCGCACGACAACAGAAAAGTCCTGGTTAGGCGCAATATGTGTGAAGGAGGCAACACAAGTCGATCGGCGATTACGCAATCGCAGTACAGTGAACAAACACACCGCAGCTCGCTGCTATCACTTCACACAAGTATTTACAGCTGTTAGCACAGCGTTCCGTCAAAAAAAGCAACGCCTCCTAGATTTCCCGTGCCTGCCGGATGAGCGCAAAACGCCGGTCATCTATGACGGCGCTGCCTACGTAGGAAGTAAGGGTTTTGTACTCAGCCTTTGAAATTGGCAATTTTGGCGTTTGCTACTAATTTCAGAGGAATGCCTTGTATTAAAAAAGTTGTTTGCTGAATGACGGCGTCACTTACGTAGGGTTAATCAAAATTACATTTACGCCTTTTCAAAACTTTTTAACGGTATTTTTGTTGCATATAAGCTCCAAAAACGTAAAAAAATCATTTGAAGACACCCCTACTTGAGTGGCGCCACCATCGTAGTTCCGACCATAGAGTTTTCCACAATACTTACTAGAGGGAACCCTGGCGCTAGTGTCTACGGGAGTTGCCATACACGGCGCTTCAGCGAGCATGGGAATGATGGGTAGTCACTTCCTCCGTGGTGGGTAAATGTAATACACCTTTTTCCTTCCTCCGTGATGTAATTAAAGTGAGCTAGAATAGGGTAGTGGGCTTGCTGGGGTCCCCTGCTTGACGCCGGGTATGTCACATGTGTGGTGGCGTCACCAGCGACTTCGATGTAGGGCACTGCCTGACAGAGGCGTTGGTGCGCAACTGAAATCATGCTCTTTGTGCGCTGTTACCCCATGCACTGGACGGAAATGCACGCGAATTTCGGCAGTGTAAACGGTGATGCTGATGTTGCTAAGACAATAAAAATAAAGAAAGAAAACTAGCGTGGAGCTAGGTGCGTAGGCCGTTGGCCTACATGTGCGCGTAGGTAACCATCTAGAACACTGTAGCAAGGTGTATGCAGCTATACTGTTAGCTTGTTATTTGATGTTAAATGAAACACACCGAATACCGTCAGTACTCGTGCGAATAAAGCTGTAGAAAACATTCTTTTCATAAACTCTGTCGGTGTAACTCGCGCGATTAAACTGCATGCAGAACTCAATGCATGCAAGGGATGCTGTGCAAACATGAGATGCATTTAAATTTTCTTACAAGTGATAAGCAGCGATGGCGAACTTTTCAAAGCTTACGTTGCACGGCTATCAATTGTAAACTGGATTCTTTGCATTTCTCGGGCCCTACTTTTGTCACGCACGCCTTTTACGAGCGTGTGAAATTATTACCGATGCTGACCTTGGCACACACTCGGGAGGTTACTATCAGCTCTTAATGTTATACATTTCACAGCATTTAAAAAGTTTCAGCTGCTCATTCTTTCTGCAGATCTCCACTATCTTGGCTCTGTAATTTGGCTATTTCTCCGCTGAATATTCCTATGCAAAGACTAAAAATCCACAGAAAAGAAAAACAGGAAGCCACTCTCCCGAAGTACTCGGCACAAGTACATGAAAATTTATTCATCAGATATATATTGGGCACAGTTGCTTACTGGATATTTCTCCTTCAGAAGCAGCGGCTCAACTTTAGATGCTTTGCCTTTTCCCGCTTCTCGGTTCTATCAGAATTAATGCCTTTCACAAAACCGCGTAACAATATAAAAGCTGATTACGTCTATTGAGAGGCCAGGGCATGTTGTGCGCACCCAACTTCTCGAGAAAACTTTTCTTTCACGATTGTCAATACATCCAAAATGCTGTCAGAAGGCAACTTGTGGCAAGAAAAGCACTCCGTAAACATGTTTTCTAGCTTGCTCACAAAACTGTACAGGTGGCTAGATGGATACAAGAGTCCACCTTTGTTACGAAAGGTGGTTAGAGGAGCGAGCTAAAAATCTCCTTGAACTGGCATCGTGAGTAGTGTTATGCAAACTTCGCAGTTTGTTTTAATGACACACTTTCACGCAATATAGCCAGCAACATAAAAGATCAGCCTGGAATCACTTCTAGCAATATGCTGGTTGCGGTCAATAGGTGCTGGCACAAAACTAGGCTCATTCACAGTGCTTGCACTGCCAACTGAATCGTCTTGTAGCAGTGTGTCAGTAGCAGCATTGATTTCCAGCAATGAAGCTAGCTCGCCTTGGTCACAATTCCCCTGGCTAACTGTTTTCACTAGACCATAGAATGAGAGACAAGTAATGGTTAGCAAAAACTGAGTTGCCGTGGGGTGGTCGTTGCTGCCGGATGACTGACGTATAATACCAAATAAACTTTCTAATGGGTCTTGGCTGGTCTTTTATGTCATTATGTATTTAAATGCTACTTTCGCTGTCAACTAAGAAAGCATTTCTAGCACACTGGTTATAGTCACGCGCAGTCCAGGCACGTAGATTATATGCACGTAGTCCCGTAGCACATACTTCGGCTGAAAATGAAGGTCACACATGGCAGATGTGTCGTCCAGGGCTTTGTCCGCTCGATGCAAATTTCGTTCCCATTGCTTCTTCGGGGCTGCATCCTTCGGAACGCCGAACAAAGACGGCTTCTTGCTGCCCTTCACGTGGATGTAACCTGTACGACAGCCTGGCGCAAAACAGTGGTTTTGCCGCCGCGGAAGCATTTAGCCTCGTTTGAGGGTCACTGCTTGTCAGGCCACATCACTGTTCGCAGAAGAACCTATGGGATTGAGGATGCAAAGCGCGACGAGTTCTCAAAGTAATAAAACTCGCACACACCGACCACCACTCCAAACAGGCAGCAACTGCCCCAGCGCCAACGCTCGCTACATTTAATGCGGCGGTGACGCCGCGCCGCGAAGGCGCGCCGAAGCACGTTTGTGTGACATTGGCGGCGTCACCGCAATGCATGGCGCCGGCCGGCGAGTGAGCCCACTATCAACGTTTTGCCCACTACCCTATTCTAGCTCACTTTAACTTTAATGTAATACACACATTTGTCTAATTTTCGTACTTCTGGCCTGCTTCTGGCTCCGTGTGTGTTCGTGTGGCTTGGAGCTATTCTTTCACGAAAACATAAAGGCAATGGCTGCTGCATCGCGCGGCGCAGTAGCCATCCCCACACAGAGACGGCTTCTGCGCCGCACATAAGTGACGTCACAAAAATTGTCATGACATACGTCGTTTCCGATTTAGCACGTTGTTCGAATTTACCGAATCGGAACGTGGCTCAGCTGGCCAGCGGACGCTCACTTGCTGCTGCTGCTGCTGGAGTACGGCTGGTTGCTGCTTCTGCGAGCTGTCTACAGGCCTTGTTCTGCTACATATTCGCAAGCCTCGAACATCATCTTCATCTAAGCTCAACCGCTCATTTTCACTGCTATTTTATATTTACTAACGTTGTTTATATCCATCCCAATACGTATTTTTGTGATTTTTCGCGTATAGGCTGATTTAGCAGTACCTGTGCGTGGCCCTTTCTTTGGTCATCCGTGTTAACGTGCTTCGTATCTGTGTCGTAGTGCATTTGCGTAGTTGACAGCCGTGTTTTAGATTAAATATTCACTTTCTTGTTTCTTTTTTTTTTCATGGTGTAATTCTGAATTGAAAGTGTGCGCAACATGACGCGTGTGTTAGTAGCGGGCGATTCAATGGTGAAATACGTCGACCAGTATTTCCCATCGCGCCGTGGCTTGTCTGTTAGCGTTGCCGCACACAGAGGAATAAGGATTGAGCACTTGCACTCAATGATTGCTGACAAGCTGGCCAGTTTTGATGTTGTCATTGTACATGTTGGCACGAACAACACTGTTGACAGTGTCAACATGTGCATGGACAAATATCGCCAGCTCGCTCAGGGAATCATCGAAAGCAATCCCACGTTGCATGTAGCTTTTTCTGCAATTCTTCCTCGGGGGCAGAATCGGTACCGCCAAGGGGAAGAACAGTTGTGTGATGTTTGTCATTTTAATGACCACTACAGGAATGTGAATGCCACACTCGCACAGCTTTGCCTGGAGAGGGGCTTCACTATCCTGGATAGTCTTGTGGACAGCTGGCCTGGATTCCTGAGCAGGGATGGTGTCCACCCCAGCCGGCTTGGCAACAAGGTGCTGGCAGACTTCCTGCACCGTGAGGCCCATCTAGAGAGGAGACACCCATCTAGAGAGGAGACACATCCAACAGTCCTACAAGGAGTCCAAGGCATCTGCATGGAGTGGGTGGGCTCGGCAGGAGCACTTTTCCATCAACTTGGAAGTCGATTTTCCAGCACTTGGTATGCATGCAGTTCAATATTCTCCAGCAGTAGGTGGACCTTCCGCTGCACCAGCTCCTGTCTGAAAAACCAGCAGTGCTCTCATGCAGAGACACGACACTGACCAGCTGGCCAGTACCATTCATGATATTGGCTTTACGCTCGTTGGCGGTGTCCGCGTTCGCTGCAAGGGAAGCAAGGCTTGGTGGACCTGGGACAGCCTGCCTTCCCCCATTTTCCATGGCACAAGTGTACCATGCAAGGGAAACACTGGGGAGAGGCCTATTCAGCCAATGATCCCTAGTCGAGGTGCAAGCACCACTTGTGACAGGAAAATAAGGAGAGCCTCACAGGAGCATGAGAGTGCTCTTGTGCGCTCTTTTGTGGGGGAAGAGGAGGCCAGTGCTGGAAAAGCAGCTGTGCCACAGGCTGTCGGCCAGTGTGGCGACAGTGAGTGGAAACTGGTGCAGTCAAAGAAGAGCCGGCGGAAGGCTGCGGCACTGCACAAGCAAGAACAGAGCTCTAAACTGTGTGCAGACAGTGAAGGCAAAGTTCTTGCTGTGACAGCTGCCAAGTCCATCAGGTTCACTTCACCAATGACAGCAGTTGTGAGCCAGAAACAGATTCAGTCTGCTTCTTCCGCTGTCTGTGGTAGAAAGCCTGAAGGACGAGCCAGTGTCTCGCACAACGTCATTCGTGATAGTTTTAAAAAGGTGCAGCGTGTTCCTAGCAAGCAGTTGAAAGACTGCTCAGTTAGTTCCGCGACTCACTGTGAATCTGTCATGAATGACGCTGTGAACGAGGTTTCTGTCTGCAAAAGCCATCTACCAGCACTGACTCGGGATTGCATGCGTATTGAGCGCGATCCTGGCACAGAGGCTGGTGACCCTATGGAAGCTGGGTGCACTGCAGCTGTGCAGTACAAGTATTGTGAGGCTGCTTTGACATCCAGAAGCAGGCCTGTCAGCCCTGGTGCCCAGGCTATTTGTGTAAACACTGGTGCCAACCCAACTGTCCTCAATAACCCAGTAAATACACTATATGGTGGGGGTAGCAAAGTTTATTTAAATGCAACATTTGATAACTTTCCTTCTTTTAAGAAAAGCTTTGATGAGTGGTGCAGGGAGGGCAGGCATGTAGTCATGATAAATAAGAGTAATAAAAGTCCATTCACATCAGAAGATAAGGATTTCGAGTATATTAGGATTAAATATAGCTGCATTCACGGTCGCACAATAAAGCCCAGGGGGATAGGAAAGCGACCAAAGCAAGCTTACAATGGTACTGGCTGTGAAATTACAGTATCGGTAAGCCTATGTAAATCGCCTACTCTGCACTACAAGATAACTAAACTACAAGCTAAGCATAACCATCCCACAGAATATTATGATTTGTATCCTCAGAAGAGGCTCCTGAATCATGGAGAAAAAGAATTCTTTGACTTAGCTAAATGTAATATTGGCGCAAAGGATTTTAAAAACTTGGTCGAGCAAAAAACTGGTAAGAAGTTAACTACAAAGGACATTAATAATTACAAGCAACGATTTTCTATTCCTATCCGCAATGAGCAGGCTCATGGTGAAATGGTTTTAAAGAAGGTAGAGACCTTGCTAAAAAATAATCCAAACTGGGTTATTCACTATGAAATGAATCAAAATAATAACCTGCAATTCATACTTCTTCAAACAACGCACATGCGTGAGATTTTGGAAAAGTATCCAGAGATTCTATTTATTGATGGAACGTATAAAGTGAATATTGAAGGTTATATTCTTTACTCTAGATTAGTTCAAGATGGTCGTGGTCGTGGGAGACCTGTGTGTTATGCCTTCTTACGAAATGAGACGACTGAAATTGTTGAGCCCATGTTCACAAAGTTTGTAGATTTCAACCCATTTGTTGTGTCTGCTTGCAAAGTAGTGATGATTGATAAAGATCTCAATGAACTGCGCATTTTAACCAGTATTCTTCCTAATTCTAACATACTTTTGTGTACGTGGCATGTGTTGCATTGTTTCCAGCAAAAGGTTAATGAAAAAGCTAGACACCAACGTGATCAGTTGCTTCCTCTCTTAAAAAGCAAGACTACTTCGATAAGCTTGCTAACCTCCAAGCTATGACTTGCACAGATTTCATTTCTTACTATATGCATAACTGGCACTTGTGTAAGGAAATGTGGGTACATGCATATCGGCAAGCCCTTCCTACATTTGGTAATAATACTAATAATCGCATTGAGTGCCACAATCAAAATATTAAAAATTATCTCTCTTCAAGCATGCATTTGGTTCAAGCAATAGAAGCATTGGTAGGTTACATTGATAATGATTCTTTATCTCTACAGTTCTTTAAGCTTAAAGAAATGAAGCTGAACCTAAACATAAATGATTTCAATGACCCATTTCAGCTAGAATTGTCCCGTAATTGCACTTCTGAGGCTACAAGTAAAGTACTAGAGCAGTATGAGAAGTTTAAAAATGTAAGTTATCAAGTCACTTCCACTCCTAATTCTTATGTTGTAGTTTCACCAAGATCACAGTACAGTGTTTCATTGTGCTTGGCTTCTTGCACATGTGCTTTTTATAACCGGTACACTCTGCCTTGTGCACATATTTTAGCAGTGCGTGACTTTACTAAGCAAGATCTTTTCGACAAGGCTTGCATACCAGACAGGTGGTGCAAGGATCATTTCCTGAGTGACAGCTGCACAACCACTAGTGCCACACCAGTGGTAACAAGCAGCATTCAGTCACCACCCTGTGTGAAGCTTGACACTGCACAAGAGAAGTATACTTATGCTTATAGGAGTCTTTGCAAAATGTCAAAAACCGTGGCTAGCGTATTACCTAATTGTGGTGAGAAGGAGTTAATGGAAAAACTTTCGTCCTGCGAGGCTTTCTTCAGAAATTTAACCACATTTCCTCGTAACCAAACTTCAGCAGCCATAAAGGCTGCACCAGCTCAGTTAGCACAAACTACTGCCACAAGTTATCTTGGGCATTCTAACAGTACAAAACTTGTGGTACCTTTGGTTAAAGCAAGAAGGGGGCGGCCAAAAAAAGTGAGAGCTGTCAAGCGTAAATTTTTCCCAAATCAAGTAAAAAAGGTAGGCCTTGCAACTGTTAAAGTAGACATGCTAAATGTCTACAAACGGTATTCTCTTTCAGATGCAGATTTAAATGTTCTGGTACAGGGCACCTCCATATCAGATAGCGTAATCAATGTCCCACAGTATTTAATTCAGAAAAAGTATCCTACTTGTGTCGGCTTTCAAGATGTCTTACTGGGCCGATGTTTACAATTCACTCAAATCAAAGGCCCTTTCGTTCAAATCTTGCATGTTCAGAACCCCAATCATTGGCTTACAGTAACAAATGTTGGTGCAGACAAAAACACAGTCTTCATATATGATTCAATTGGTCAAGATACCCCTCCTGACGCTGTTAGGCAAATCTGTCATATTCTAAAATTACAATCGCCAACATTAACCATTCAAACAACGAAGGCACAAAGCCAGTGCAACACACTTGACTGTGGCTTGTTTGCAATTGCCAACATGTATTATATAGCGTCAGGCAGAAAACCAGAAACTTTGAACCTTAACCAAGTTATGCTATGCAAACATTTGCTGCAATGCATACAGAATGGTATGATCGAAGACTTTCCCCTCATAAACTCCATGACTGCTCGCGTACAGCCAAGAGATAGTATTTACAAGTTACATTGTGTCTGCCGGCAACCACAATATAGTGGGGTAGTATTGGACATTACTTGTGCAAGTTGTTCAAGAGGATTTCACGGAGCTTGTCTCGGCTCTTTAGCAGCTAACTTGGATAAAAAAGTATTCGTGTGTTCTCAGTCATGTTTGCTGGTTGCCAAGGAAAAGATACATTCTTCTAATTAATAATAGCATTCCATTTTGGTGTAGACATATGGCAAAATTTCTAAGCATTCTTCATGTCTCCTCCTCTAATTTTTGCTTTTCTTTAAAGGGCCACTCACCGGGTTTGGAGATTTTGAGCTGACAAGTGCAATGCGTACATCGGGAGTTTATGGTCACATCTGCCAAACATTGCAACTCTATGCGACGCGGAAATGGGTCAAATTTCAAAACTAACGCTTCTCCCCCTTTTTTTTTTGGGTCGCGCCCCCAAAAAAGAAGGTTATAATGTGCAAGTATGAATCGCCCTACATACACAGCAGTGCAGTGACGTTGGTCCTATATGTATACGACTGTGCTCTGACGTTGCCAACAGTGGCACGTGACATGACGGAAATTATTTAACGTGACATGCGTAGTTAATGTAATTTGTTGCTTGAAGAGATTAATAAAACTTGGGATACATATTGAGACGCAATAGAAGAATGTGTTTGTCTTTTGCATTTTTTTCCCCGTAAATTGCAATGAGATGCCGAGCTAGTGTGCTGGCGTTTCGCATGCGTTTGTGTCTCCGCAGTTACTGCATCAAGCAGACTCTTGTCCTGGAAAAGAAATTAATGGTCCTGCGCATTCGAGCACTCATTATGCTCATCTTTTCAACCGCATCAAAGCCAGCGTTTCCAAACAATGTCGCAAAAACAGGCAGTAGACACAATACAATGCTGGTCAACAAAACAACACCGCTCGCGCGCTCGAGGGTTGGGCTTGTTTGAGCACATCATGTGCACGTGACCTCTTGGTTGGATGCTGGAGAGGGTAGGAAAGAGATTTGGCTTGTGAAGGCTACACGGGGGAGTGGCAAGGGTTTTGAGCTTGCCTCCTTTCATCCTTGTTTCCTGCTGTTAAAAAAAGAAGAAACTGTTTTGTCAGCTCGTAATGAACCGATTGAAAAACTTTTTGTGGTATAATGCTCTCCGTTAGATACACAACTTCCACAGTTTGTTATGGGACCTGGTGAGTGGCCCTTTAAGGACTGACTTCAGGGATCGAAAGTATGAAGTTAGGCATGTTGGTAATGCATAACGGATCACATAGCAAAAAAATTTGACCCAGGACAATAGAAGGAACAAACACGAGTGCTCACTTCCAAGAAGATTTATCTTGAAGAGCAAACACATATATACTCCTGAAATGTGAAAATCAGGCAAATCATTCAAGACGCCCACAACTGCCATGCGCAAATATCTTACATTTTCAAAAAAGACAATTTGACAAAGCCCGAGACAGAGTGCTGATGCAGTTCAGCTCTAGTCTACAAATCCTCTTTGCCTCGATAATTTCTCTTGTCATTTTATTTGTTGTTTTTTCTTCCAGCAATAATGATGTCCCGCAAAATCATTTTGCAGCCACACGTGCTGCAATGAACACCCTTGTAACCTCAAGAATGGTCGCAATCGTTTCTTGGCCTTGCACTGCAGCAGGTGTGGCTCCAAACCACTTTTGTGTGACACCATTATCATTGGGAAAAAAAAACTACAAGAGAAATTGTCGTGGCGAAAAAGGTTTGTAGACCAGAGCTGAACTGCATCAGTACTTTCTCTCACTCTGTCTCTAGGGATTTGTCAAAACGAATTGTCTTTCCTGAGGATGTAAGGTTTTCGTGCATGGCAGTTGTGGGCTTTTTGAATGATTTGTCTATTTTTTGCATTTCAAGAGTATATATGTTTGCTCTTCAAGATAAATCTTGTTGGAGGTGAGCACTCGTCTTTGTTCCTTCTCTTGTTCTGGGTCAAATTTTCACGTTATGTGATAAGTTAACTTTCTGCATGCACCACCTTATTTTTTTTCCTTGTTGTAAGCGAGTGGTGGAGCGTTAACTAGAAGTACATGAAAACATTGCCAAATGTATGTTACCCCAACGAACCAAATTCCTTTCTTGAGGCAATCCTTTCTGTGGCATTCCTTCTTTATTGACTTCTCATCACGTCAAACCTCAAACCTGTCTCTTTCATAAAAGTTCTAGAACTAGTTCTTGCTTTGTTTTGTTTTTTTGCCAAAAGTAGAAAAACTTCCCTTCATTGAGCAAATTTTCCTGAACTAAAATATATTCATATCTAATGCACGGAATGAAAAATAAAAAACAAGAAAATTAATAGGCTGATCACTAAATGTCAATTGAATAAGGATTTCGGAAATAATACCATGAATGGCACACAACAAACACTCATGCATGCAGCCTTTTACCATGTGCAGCTATAAACTGCAAAAAAAAGTATCAGATATTGTATATGATTTGCTTTTTTTTCTTTTCAGCAACAGTAACTTGCCCTTTAAGAGAAAAATATGAATATCAAATTTTCAAAAATAGTCATTTTTGAAAACTTGTCAATATATCAAAATGGTTTAGTTGATTCATGATTATGCAAGCAGTTCTTGCATGCCTGTGGCACTGGGATTGTTAATGTAGGCAGGCTGAGTTTGTAATGTTCTAAAGCCTCAGCATTTTAGTGTTATATTACAATATAACATTCAAATATTTTATGAATTCAACTATGAAATTTGCTCACAATGAGTTTGCTACAAATCAAGCAACCAAAGTCTGTGTATATATTGCCCACATTAACGTCACACTGCCACAAGTCTCTAGGCAGAGCCTGACCGCTACAGAGCGCGTTCTTGGGTGGCGGATAGAGAAAAGTCTTGCAATGAAGTGATGCTAAGCAGCTTCTATTAATAAACAAGACTGGCACTTGTGCCCGCGGACCAACAGGCAGAAAATACATATGACAACAGGAGTCTTTTCACTGCTGTGGTGGGCAAGTTGAAAGTTTCAGGTGCCATTTTTTAAACTCTTTGGTTTATCTGTTGTTTTTTTCGTCTGTTTTCTTCATCTTGTACAGGTCCAGTACATTGTGGACTCACCCTGTTGTCAAGTCGTCAGGAAGTTGGATGATGCTGTCTTCTTCTAGCTAAATTATGCAACTACTAAGAAGGGGATCAGAATTCTATTTTGTAGCAGTTATTTTACAAATAAATGTTAGTAAAATTTTTCTTGGTTGTAGTAGTGTCATTGTGTACTCACGGACCATAACATTACATAAGACAGGAATTCAAGTGCACAGCAAAAAAGTGCTGCTATGAGCACCTGTTATCAACATCAGCTGGTCATTCTTAATTTTGGTATTTTATTTATCGCACATCAAGTAGCCGCAATTGCTTGGTTTACAGGCTGAGAGAAAATTTAGCTCCCTTTCTTGCACGCCAAAGGTTGCTGGCAGTGAAACAGCGTTGTCAGCATTTTGATAGATACTTTGAAAATGAACGTGAAAACGACGGAGGGACAAGGCAAAGGCGAAGTACTGAGTCTTTCTAATCTCGTGTCTCCGTCGTGTTCGTGGGCGTTTTCCAAAAATGCATAGTTTTCAACTCAACCTTACTGATATATTGTGAAAACTTTATGAAAACATGAATCCCCGAAGTTAAGTGTAAAACTTTCACATAGAATGCATCACTTCTAGCGTCAACAGTTGAGCTATTACAAAACTTTGATAAGTCGCAATACACGTAAAAGCAAGTATGATCAAGCTTCACTGCCTGTGAAAGCACTGCGGTAAAGCCAGCGTGAGCAGAAGAGCATTACATGATACGAAATGAACGCATGCACAGGCCACTTGTGCATCAAACAAATATAAGCATTTGCGACTGCTCAGGCCAAATATGCATCTTGGCACGTCCGTTTCAGGCAAACAAAAGGACAAATACTAAACTATGATCAAGCTTCACTGCATGGAAAAAGCACTGCGGTAAAGCCAGCGTGAGCAGAAGAGCATTACATGATACGAAATGAACGCATGCACAGGCCACTTGTGCATCAAACAAATATAAGCATTTGCGACTGCTCAGGCCAAATATGCATCTTGGCACGTCCGTTTCAGGCAAACAAAAGGACAAATACTAAACTATGATCAAGCTTCACTGCATGGAAAAAGCACTGCGGTAAAGCCAGCGTGAGCAGAAGAGCATTACATCATACGAAATGAACGCATGCACAGGCCACTTGTACATCAAACAAAAATAAGCATTTGCGACTGCTCAGGCCAAGTATGCATCTTGGCGAGTCCTTTTCAAACAGACAAAAAGACAATTACCAAAAGATGATTGAGCTTCACTGCATGGAAAAAGCACCGCGGTAAAGCCAGCGTGAGCAGAAGAGCATTACATGATACAAAATAAACGCATGCACAGGCCACTTGTGCATCAAACAAATATAAGCATTTGCGACTGCTCAGGCCAAATATGCATCTTGGCACGTCCGTTTCAGGCAAACAAAAGGACAAATACTAAACTATAATCAAGCTTCACTGCATGGAAAAAGCACTGCGGTAAAGCCAGCGTGAGCAGAAGAGCATTACATGATACGAAATGAACGCATGCACAGGCCACTTGTGCATCAAACAAAAATAAGCATTTGCGACTGCTAAGGCCAAGTATGCATCTTGGCGAGTCCTTTTCAAACAGACAAAAAGACAATTACCAAAAGATGATTGAGCTTCACTGCATTGCGAAAGCATTGCGGTAAAGCCTATAAGTAAATGATGTGCAGCAATTAAAGGATATATGCCTTATTCATCGTACGCACCTGTTGGTGTATTAAAGCTGCTCACATTTGCCAGGCTATTATGTGAGTGAGAGGCAATACCTGATGTGATAATAGCTGTTACATTTCTTTAATTGCTCACTTTGGGAACTATAGCTGGTTGATCGCAAGTTGAATTTGCATGAGTCCTTGAGTAACTTAGCCACGTGCCATCTTTGCACATGATGTCTTAGCTGTCACCGAGTTATATAGATAGATTGACGTGGCGTGGCTTTGATTGCGCGCGCAGTGGTGTTTAGGTTAACTGCTGCAGATGGGGAATAAATATTTAAAATCTCGTGGTACGCGATGCATTTGGTAAGGCATGCAGGGCTTATTCCTAATGTACGGCTCCTGCTTACGAGCGGCGCAGTCTGTGATCTGCGCCGATAGACAAACTGATGGTGGAAGAAAAATTGCTCTCTCCCACTAAAGAGAACAATGCATACGTGTGAAGCAGCGGGCGCTAACGCTTACACAGGCGGCGCCGTGGACGCTGGCTCTCATCGTGGCGTTGCGCAGGAGATCAACCTGGGGACGAGGCGCTAAGTACGCAGTGATGGACCGGTGTTTCTTTCTGTAACATGCTAATCACTGCTAATGGGTGAGAGACACAAGACTCTTATTAAATGCAGAGACCCTCAGTACACTTTTAACGAAGTATAACACGCACTCTGCTCATTTTCATTGTTCAACAACGCACAAGAGAAATCTATCACCAGCACTACCTTGGAGGTCAATATCCAGTGCCTAATACGGGGTGGCCAGTGAACGGTTGGGCAGTGCTAGCAGTCATTTTTTTTTTTTATCAAGGAACTCGCTATCGGATGCTGCTTGCGTCGGTGGTGCGAGTCGAGAGAAGGGGGAGTGTAGGAGAAAAGAAAGACGGGGAGGGGACGCGCATGCGCAGCAAGGATGGTCACGCCGCACACAGCATTGAACTCGACCATAACACGCTTGGCATCTAAAGTGGCCCCAGTGTACGAGAGAAAATTGCTGGATCTGCAGCCGAAGATTTTCCGCCAAAGAAATGTAGGCTGCAGACTCTAGATCACATTACCGGCTGCCATTCGGTTCAGCACATTAAATGTATCAGTTAATTTACATGGAGCATACTACGAACTATAGCTACATGTACTTTATAAATGTGCCCGGAAAATCACCTGTAAATTTACACGGTGGACACTAATCCAGAGTTCCCGCCTGTTTCTGAAGCATTGTTACAGCAGAACACTGAAAAACATTGCTGCACGTGCATATATATATATATTCACACAGCAATTCATACACGCCATTCTAACAACCTGACATATAGACATGGCCCCACTCATGGGTTGGCTGCTGTGAGGAGCATGCACAGTAGCTTTCCTTGACACTCGCAGTGCATCATGTTACTGTAACATAAACAGCGTCATAAGGCTAGACTATATTTTAGTTTTATGACATTCTTTGGCTCCCAAGGAGCAGGATGCTTTTCTTGAAAAGAAAAAGAAAAGGCAGATCCCATGCACAGTATACAGGAATCGATGCATGATGTGAAGCAGCCAGGAAGGAGGAAACCATGCTGTACAATTAAGACGTGGATATTATGATTTGCATGTTAGGAAATGTCATTTATGGTCATCATACAGTGGTATGCAATGCAAATTTCGCTGTATATTAAGTTATCGAAATTGCCGCAAGCACACCAAGAGCCTGGCATGTAAATCACGTGGTGCATGATTGTGTGTCATAATTTACATGTTACCATTTGCTCTTTATGTTCATCATGCAGTCACGTCCATAGGTTGTCACGTCCATCATGCAGTCACGTCCATACAAAAAACAATACTTCCCTGTAACTTCACATATTTTTAGGTAATATATATAACTTTATGAATACTTTTAGTCCACTAAGTGACCAGCAAAGTTGGCTTTCAATGAACACTGAGCTTTCTTCTAAAAAAAAAAGCGAAATTGGAATTTATTTTTCAGTCGATATATCTTGAGCACCTTAATCGTTTTTACTTCATAGCATGTTGAACAGGCTGCTATGACATATTATTTGTGCCATTTTATTTTGACATGCTTCTACAGTGAATATCGAATTTCACAAATTTATTCAATTTGGCTTGTGCCAAAAACCCTTAATGAGTTTATATACATAAAAAAGTAATTTATTTACAGTTACATTATCTCATTAGCTTGCCATAAACACCATTTTATCGAGTGCATCCTATAGACATCCTTTGAATGAAAATTGTTGTTTGATACTCTCTAGCTGAGTCGGCGAAAAGCTATAAACTAGCACGAACAGGCAAGAAAATTTTCGTCTACAGAAGTTAGCAAGCAGAGCAAGTTTTAAACACAACGAAAAATTTGGTAATTTTTTAGCCAGATTTTGGAAAAAGCTGTTGAAGAGTGAGAATCATTTTAGTGGAGAGTTGTAGATGTTTGTCTGGCTTTTCGCCTGACATGTTACTCCAGATACTGGGTGATAACTATGATATATGCAGTGATAAACACATAACACATACACTCACACATGTGCACTACACTATTTACGATGTTTCGTTCAGATTTGGGGCCCAAAAGAATGTCAGTAGCACTTTTGTGGCATGTAACGCACTGGAGCTGCTTTGCCATGGGCCTAAAATATCTGGTGACTCTCCTTAAAAAGTATAAGTGATTGCTGTCTATATCTAACAAATTCTGGCATTTTGGATTATATTTATCATACCTTTATCTCGTGTTTGTTTGATACTATTGAGATTTTGCTGTAATTTTAAACAATCAAAAAATATTCCCCTAGAGTTATTCAAACAAAAGACCAAATTGAATGGTACTGCACAATATTACTTGCACTTTTCAAATACTTTCACACCATTAATTCTGACACGTCAACTCTACCATGCTGTGTCCAAACTTTTATTGCATGACTTCATCAGTGTACTGTTATCATTTACTTTAGGGTTTTGCCTCTAAATTTAAGTTTACAGAGTTTAACAAAGTAGTACGACCTTTTCGAGACAGTGTATTGGAAGGCTCCAGACAATTTGAACCCCATTGGGTTCTTTATTGTGCCCTAGTATTCCACCTGACGTGGTTCTCTAGGATTTCCCTTCTACAGAAATGCAACCATGGTGCCTGGATTAATCAAAGCTGCATCTATTGGAAGAGTAGGCGAGTACTGTATGAGCCACTGAAGCGGCACCACCTCTGAAAATATAAGTGCATACATGTGCACCAGCCTATACATGCAAATGCTTCTCTTGAATAAAAAATGATTTTTTTGTGGCTAAAGTATTTTCTTGCTATTTTTTTCTTCAGGCTTAGAAATGGCATAAAAAAGAAATTCACAAACTTTATTGATAATGACTAACCAGCCTAAAAATTCATAAAACGGTTTCAATTAAAAGGGAAGGAGACTTTGGTA